CCCCCCCCAAATCACGGAGAGACACCAGGCAGATTTACACTCCGCTCCTTGGATGTGCCCTCTGTGTTTTGAGTGGTTAAGGGCAACTGCAGCCCATTTTCCAGCTCTCCTCCGCTAAGCGAAGGTTTAGAAGTTTACGGGTTTTACTAAATGACAGCTGAGCTGCTCCTCTTCCCACGTACCTCCACAGCCCGGGGTTGTAAGGAAACCATCAAATGCTGCAAGGCTTGCAATACAGCCCGGCAGCTGGCAGCTCTGCTGGCTCCCAACGGAGGAGTCTAACCCTCCAAAGAAGGTTTTTGGAGGCACCAGTGTTCGCAGTCAGATATTGGAGGTTTGCCTTCAACACCCACTCTGTGCCATTGCTGTCTCCATGGCTGGCGAGCCCTTCCGTACCCGATTCACTCTCAGGAACCGCCGGAGGGGCAGGGACACCCCGACGCATCGAAACAACCACCGGGATGATTGCAGTGCTCCTCTCGAATGTCTCCCCCTACCCCCCTGCCCAGAAGGGAAGACTCATCCAGCCGGTCTCCGTCCCGGTTGCAGGAGAAAACGTTACTCACGTGCGGAGAAAGAGAAAAGAGCCAGACTCAGCAGCAGCAAGATGCCCATGGCCTTCATGGTGCAAGTGGCTGGTCTCCGGTCCCGGGATGCTGCCTCAGCCCACGGAGAGTGCCGAGGGACCCGCCTCGCCACCTGCTTATATAGACACACCTTCCTGCCTCCTTCCCAAAGGGATCATTGGCTCTGCCGGTGTCTCAGGAATGCTTCAGCTCGAAGAACGCCGCCCTGGCCACATCAAGCTCGGGGGAAAAAATGGGGGGAGGGGGTTAATTATGTGAGTGGCATGCTCGAGGTTGCAATCTGCTCCACGATTAGTAATCCCCTTTCTTGCACCGCATCCTGGAGCTGTGACAAGGGCGAGCACAGGGAGCCGTGATTCAGTGGGGCGGCCAGTAATTTTCATAGCGTGCGGGCCCACACCGAGTGCCTGCAGCGAGGTTTTACAATGCGGCGAGCTGGCATTAATGGACAGGTACGAAGTGAATCATGCCGGGAGAAAGGAGCGGCAGCAAAACCAGTCCTTTGCTGTGAGTCTAAATATGGTGAGAGACACATCGGGGTGACATTTTTTCACACCTGTTTGGAGAGTCCCAAGCCAGACGGGCCGACACTCCTCTGGGAACTATTTCAGCTATGGCTGTGAAGGGTGTTTTTCAGTCCTCCTGGCATGCAAAAGTATGTCATGGCCCCGTTCTTCTCTAGGATGGGCCATCAGGTCTACCTCCACCTCTTCCACCTACTTCCCATGTGACCTTTGGCCAATACTTTCCTATAGAGACATCATCCATAAAATGGGCATGCCGGATCCTTTGAGCTTGGAGGTGCCAAGTATCAGTCCTATTTACTCTGCTCCTTTGAAGTCAGTGGAGCAACTCCTATGAGGGTTTGCTGATTCACAGCCCTTGTGTGTCAGAAACCACCTCTGAGGCCTGGAGACGAGAGGAAGAGTTATTTTAGGATTGGTTCAGCCACGGAGACGGGGCGGGGGGCTCTGAAAGCCGTCAGCCACAACGGAAGGGCAAGGACTGAAAATAGACGAACCTCCCAGTGAAATCAGAGACGGCCCCAGCCTAAACCTCTGGACCCGAAGGACCTAATTTGTACCGCAGAGCAGTGGTTTTCAACCTTTTTTCCATCTGCGGCCCCCTAAAAATATTTGAGTGGGGGCGCGGACCCCTTTGAATTGTCCGTGTGGGTATTCACATAGTTTTGATGGATCATAGTCATCCTTCACGGACTGCTTCGACAGTCTGCAGACCCACGGACCACTGGTTGAAAACCACTGCTAGAGGACAAATGACCTTCGAATCCGGTGAGTGTGATGTGCCAAGGCGGAAAGGAAGGGCGATGAGGATGTGCAATGCAATAGGACTCAGGCGGCCTCGTCCGGGACAGGAGGGGGTTTGCTGCCATCACACCAGTTAGCTTCTCCTAGGCCGCCCCAAAACACAGCCCCGAGACAGGCCAGCTGGTGAGACACGATGCAGGACTGCAGGAAGAGCCTGCGACAGATCTCACGTGTGCAAGCTGGCTGGCTTCAGTGAAACTGAAAAATTAATCTGGTTCAATCAGGTTCGTTGAACGCAATTTCCCCTATGAGGCCAGGCCGCTGCCTCTCAGACATTTGCTGAGACATGTTACAAAGGCAGGGGGAAATGAGCCAAAGCCTAATAAAGTTCTCATCAAAGCGAAACCGGCCCAGGCTATGTAAATGATGGTGGCATAAATCCGCAAAGTCTTGCCTTGCGTCTTGTGAAGTTGTCTAGGGAGCAAATGAGAGCGATAAGGTTGCGTGCAAAAGGGAATCGTCACCGCGAGAGACGCAGGCTCGAGAAAAACGAGGGTGGGTGTTTGAACGGTGCCGGTTGCTGCGTGGTCCCAGCACCCAGGTCCTTGCAGCCTCGCCTGGGCATAGAGGCAGGGTGACTGAACTGAACCAGGACCCCAGGGAACAATCCTGCGCCGGTGGAGGGGGGAACAGCCTGCCCCACGGACCAATGTTTCCTGCTTTGCGCTGATGTGCGTTGGCCTGGAGCATCCCTCGCATTTGTCTGCAATGAGAAGCGAGGCGTAAAAAGGGATGTTTGGGTGCTGACACCCGTTTGGTCTGGGGATGTGCGAGTCCAGCATCCTCTTCTACGGCGAGGGTGGCACAGCTGTCTCCTGCCTGCATCAGTGCCTGCTGGGGCCATGCGCTAACACCGAAACAGGGGGTCCTCTTCAGCGCAGCATCCGAACAGCTGGCCGGGGGACGCTGGGAGACGTGGACTGTTACCGGACCCAGGAGCGCTGTCCTGGCTGGGAAGTAAACAAGGCCGAGGTTATTAACCTAATTAGCAGCCTTGGAAACTGCCCCAGCCTCGCCTGTGCTGGCGAGAGTGGATGGTGGAGGTGAGCATGTGAGTCAGGTCACACGCGAGACCCAGATCCGCCGGCACACCCATGAGCTGACTCACGTGCCTTGTGAGCCATGGCCCGGCGTTGCATCTGTGCACGTGGAGCCTTGCTTCGCTCTGCATTTGCTCTGTGCCCTCCTGGGGACGGGGCGTGAACCCGGCCCCTCCAGCATCCATTGCACCGAGCCACCAGCACTTCTTGCCCCTTCTTTCTGGGGGGCTGAGACCTCCCCCCACTCCGGGCTCCCCTCTTTGGCCCTTCTGTTGTGCTTGTGTTAGGTGCTGTCGATGTGTTGTCAGAGCTGAAGTCTCAGCAACTGCGGTGCCAGCACAAAGCGGGAGCCAGGAGGTCCTGACCACCTTCGTGTCTTCAAGAGCAACCGCAGGCCGGGTTCATGGCAGAGATGTGGCCAGGTTCACTGTCTACCAGCACGGCCCGAACACGTCCAGGCCGGACGAGTACATCAGACCAGGTGTTAACACATCTGTACCTGTGACAAGGTGGTCGGCGTGACACCACGCAGGCCACTGCGAGGTTCCTAAACTTTCCCATTCCCCTTTTGTACAGCGGTGAAAACAAATAGCATATTCACTGCACCCGTATCTTGCATCTCTGATACCGTCCCGGACCGTGGGCTTGTTGCACATCCTGATCGGGGTGTTCCCATTACAGACCGACTGTCCTGGTACGGGACTATCCTGTGCTAGCGCAGCCGTCTCCTCCTCCGCTCTCCTGGCCCGGATCTGAACACATGATGTGAGGAGTTCAGACATCGGTCAGGGTTGCCGGTCAAGCTTCCTCTGCCCAGTGCTGGAGCAAAGCCTGGGCGTGAGCAGTGCATATGTGGAGTGATGTTCCTGTATACTTTGTGAGCAGCGTATATATAGAGTGATGTTCCCGTATATTGTGTGAGCAATGCATATATGGAGCGATGTTCCCGTATATTGTGTGAGCAGCGTATATATAGAGTGATGTTCCCGTATATTGTGTGAGCAATGCATATGTGGAGTGATGTTCCCGTATATTGTGTGAGCAGTGCATATGTGGAGCGACGATCCACCTTCTAGCCCAAGCTCCCTACTCATCGCTCGCCTCGTCCCCCCTGAAACCGCACAGGGCTTGTCTGGCTGCCGGCAGCCCTCCTCCGTCCTTCCTCTCCCTCCTGCCTAGCAAGCCTAGGCAGGGATAATTGACCCCAAAACCTGTTGTTAACCCTTTCCGGGGAGCAGTCCCGCAGCAGGTGGTAGACTGCCAGTGGAAGGGGGTCAGGCCCAGCTTTCTGCCCCGGCATGTGACGCTAATGAGACATGGGGACGGACTAAGGGAGAAGCTTTGTGGGGAAGGATATAGCCCTTGACAGGCTAGGACAGGGGGAAAGCAGCAACAGTTCATAGTCCCTAGATGCCTGCTTGGGTATCAGCAAGCCTGGCCCGGTTCAGTCACGCAGCCCTCTTGTCTACCCCGCGGCCCAGGGGGTCCTGGCTCCTGCCAGCCCCAGGCCTGGGAATGGGTGGGTGAGGCAGATCCAGGTTGCTCTCGACCCCTCTGGCTCCACCAGGACCCAGTGCAACTGGGGTGCGCACCAACCCGCCGAGCCTCTCGCCGGGTACCCAGGGGCAGCCGGCGGCGTGCACGCAAAGTGGGAGGTAAGCTCACGCCTTGAGGCATGGCGCGATACTGTGCCCGCTGTCTCGCCGGGCCCCTCTCCTTTGCTCTCGTGCCAGGGAAGGCAATAGATCCTCACGCTGCCCTTCCGGCCCTGCACCGAGACTCGTTTCCACCTCCCCTCCACGTACGCGGGAAGCCACAACCTCCTGCCCTGCAAGAACTCCCCGAGGCAGAGGATGCTGCTGAGTTTACTTTATTGATGAAGCGAAGGCAGAGCTTGGGACCACAGGACGGGCCCCCGGAGACCTGGGACCAAGACAGCAGCGCTGGCGAGGGGGCAAGGAGCAAGGTGGCTCTCGGTGCGCTCTGCCCCAGGAGATCTAGCATTTCCCATAATGCTTGAAATGAAGTTTCCCATCACTTTTCCTGCAGAGAGAGAGAGCTTGGAGACAGGGAACTCAGGGCGAGAGTCTGGGGCGGCTTCTCCCCCTACCCATCGCTTTGGCCCCTTTCTTTTGCAGATGCAGTTTAAACTACTACGGGTGTGGGGGAAACCCCTGGGGACCCTGAGCCTGCCTGACCCGCCGGGGAAGCAGAGGGAGAAACCTCCCCTGCCGTGCGCGTCAGGGCTGGTGGTGATGGAGGAGCAGAGTCGTCAGTGCCGGGGAATATGGAGCCAAGCAAACCTGCAGGCTCCCCGCCTGCAACAGACTGGCTTCCCGCCACGTTGAGCAGCGACCCAGCTACAGCCCTGCTGCTGTCGGTGCGGGGCCTTTGGGCGGAGGAGAAAGGGGCAAGACCCCAGGGCTGTGCCCTCCCCAGGAAGGCCGCGGGGGGTCAGTGCCGCGGGTCCTGTACGTACACGACTGCGCTGCAGAACTGGCACTTATTGCCGTACGTGCGGCCGTCGGAGCCGCAGTGGGCCAGGTACTCCAGCGTGCACATGAGTTCGGGCTCCTTGTAGTCGCTGCAGTCCACCTGCAAGGATCAGAGCAAGGTCAGGGCTCTGCCGCGCATGAGCTATATGCTGCCCCTGCCCAGAGGAGCCTGAAAAATAGGGGGCAAGCAGGCAACGGCATGCAGGCCAAGGGAGGAGGGAGAAACACAAAGACAGATGCTGCTTGAGTAGATGAGAAGGTGCCAGTGCCCCCACCCCAGGCGCCCGTCATCCCGGACACGCTGCATTGGCACGCGTGGATAGACATTACGGCGCCAGGTAACGAGGGGGCCTTACCTGGGGACATCGTCCGTTGCTGCTCCAGTCCATGTCAGCCCCGTTCCTTTGGGAGGAAAGCAAGATGAGCGCGAGTGAGCGAACAGGGGGGCAGCTCCTCCTCGTGCTCCTCCATCGAGCCCGCTATTCCCAGGGCACTTACGCGATGGCCGTGCAGAAGGCGCACAGGTTGCCGTAGGTAGTGCCGTCAGTGCCACAGATGGGTATGTACTCCATGGTGCAGATAGCCGACTGGCCAGGAGGGGTTTCCAGGTAGCCGGTGCAGTCCACCCCCTGCAAGTCACAGTGCAGCCCCCTGACCCCGAGCCCTCCATCCCCTGCTCCTAACGGCTGGGTCACGGCTGCGTCGGCAGCTCTCTTCTGCCGGGTCTGTCTGCAGCAAGCACCGGGCAGGCAGCAGGAGAGGCTGCCTGACGGGCACGGCTGAGGCCAGTGAGGTGGGCATCACTGTGTGCATCCCAAAACTAAGGGTTGGGCACGCCCAGGGTCAGCACCAAACAAGCTCCTCGCAGTTAGAAGGACTTCAACGCTGGAAGATTTCACATTGAAATCCAGGCTGCGTTTGAGTGACAGCCGGTGGGAGGCCGACTCGTGTGGGCCCCAGCCTATTCCATCTATCACACGGCCAAATGAACGGAGAACCGGCCAGGTGGGCCCGGAGTCACAAGGACCCGAGCAGAGATTTGACCTTACCTGAACGCATCTCCCATCGTGCTTTTTGTCAATGCTCTTGCCACGCCTGGAGCACGAAAGAGAAAAAAGAAGTCATCTGCAGGCACTGGGCAGCCACCTCATTCAGGAAACCTTTTCATTTATATGGCAACAAATACAATTAAGCAAACTCAGAGGGAGAAAAAAAAAATCAAAGAACCGAAGGATCACGGATGTTAGGGAAGGGGAAGAGGTAGGAAGTGTCCCAGGCCACACCTCGCTTAGCCATTAGCCCGAGGGCTGTGAAGTGCCAGGAGACGGTCGTTAATACTCACAGGATTTCCGTACACAGCGTGCACTCGTTGGGGTAGAGCACGTTGTCGGTGCCGCAGACGGGGTGAAGGTTTTTGGGACAGCTGACTTTGTTGTCTACAGTCAAGTGGTAATTGCTGCAATTGGCCTGGGGAAGGGAGGGGCAGGTTGGCGTGGCCTCCCCTCCGACCCCCCCTGAGTGCCTGCGTGACCCACTGCCTGTCTTCCTCTCCGTCCCCTGGACCCTCCCCTGCCTAATTGCTCCCACGGAGAAAACAGCACATTCGAGTTAAACTCCTGCTTCAATGTGGGGGTCTCAATGTGGGGGGACACAGTTTTTCTCTCTCTCTTCCACTTTGGTGAGTACCAGAAACTGCATCCCAGCTCTTGTAGGTGGAGTGGGCAGAGATGCTGGGCCAGGATCACCGCCCACCCGCCCGCCGTCCATGGGATGGCAGCCTCCAGAGGCCTGGGCGATGCCACAGGAGTGAATGATTCACCGCCACGTGATAGCTCTCCCCCTTTCCTCTGCTTGCCGACCGCCTTCGAAAGAGAGGCAGTTCCACAGGGAGGATTGTGTTAACCGGCATCTTCCCGGCCTCGCTCCTCTCCCCTTGGTCTACCTCCCGCTGCCACAAATTGCCACCGGAGCGCCGGCATCAGGTCGATTCCACCCGCCTTTCCCTGAAATGTCTGGGGTACAAAAAAGGGCAGGAATTTTCCCCAGAAGATCGAATGGTGGTGAATAGCTGTGGCAAGCTGATTTTCCATTTGCAGAGGAGGCAAACATCCCAGAAACATGGCTGTGACGCTTACCCCCATCCCAGCCGTGCTGCCTTTTGCCTGCAATACTCGGTTACACTACAGCCCTCCCATTTGGGATATGCAACACGTGCAGGCAGTTATCGAGGTGCAGGGGAAGCACGTGCCAAGGCCTCTAGGGAGGCTGGGTGCAAATCAAAAGGGAAAAACCCAATTTTTATAAGACATGCAAAAAACTAGAACTCTTGGTTCCACAATGATGCACCATACACCATTACCTTTTATTAGAGCAACTGGGAAATGGCAAGAAAATGGTATTGACAGCAAATATTTTGCCGCTCACCTGACTTGCTTCGATGACAGCATCTAGAGCAGGAAGAAAGAGAGACAGCAGAACTAACACCGCGGCAGGATCTCGGATGGGAAGTCGCTTGAAACCACTGGTTGCCCAATAAACAACATTGTCATATGTGAACGAGATGTGATGAAAAGACATGTGCCATTTAGAGGCATGTATGTCCCAACCCTCAGAGCCGATCTATTCACCACCGCTCATGTTCTTTCTGCTCAGCATAAGCATCGCATTGGGATGATGTGGGATTTTTTAAGATTTCATAAAAAGACTGGGATTTTTTAAATTTTTCATTAATTTTTTTTTTCGCTACAGAAAAAGAAACAAAACCTAAACCTCTATCTTCCCCGCCACCGTTGTCCCAGCTACATCCTAGAAATCTGGGGACGACGTGGGTGAGGCATCAGCTTTGCCGCTGTTCCCCGCATAAGGATGAGTTTCATCCAGAGAGGACTCACGCACCAAACCCTTTCCTCTAGGTTGGTCCCATCACATCCTCCAGCCACCTCTCTGGACAGGCTGCCGCAGAAGCAACTCACCTGGAAGACAGCTGAGAAGCACCAGCCCAAGCAGCCCAAAAGTGCTCGTCATCATGGTGGGAGCAGCGATCTGGTCCCACTTGTCTGAGCAGATGGCAGAGCTCACTTGCTGGTTCTCTTTATATAGATGTGTTTCCCCAGTTTCATTGCAGAATCATCCTCCTAAAGTCACTATTTGCTCAGCAAACCAGCCAATTTTTATGGCTGATGGTGTAAAGACTGCTTCCTTCTCAGCAGGAAGGAAGGTGCACAGGAGCAGTGAACAAACACGGGAGCACCGCCCAGCTTGTTAACAAAGGGGCTCTGTGGTACTAAGGCGGTTTGTCATTTCTAGACAACGAGGGCATTGTCCCAGCGCCAGAAGCAGTGACAATCTGCGGGGAAACTGGAAAAGGGAAGGGGCTGAGATGTGGGCAGCTTTATTGCACTCAAAATCGATATGCAATACATAGCCTGCTGCATTGCATAGGTTGCAAGGTGTTCAAAGCTCCCTGTGTGCTCTTGCACAGTGACTTTTGGTGGGACCAATCTCTTTAGAGGTTTACATGGGATTTCAAAGACACCTCAGGCTTATGCCGACCCTTTGCAGGGACCCACAGGCTCTCCAGAGACGTAGGGTACCTGCGATCATCATGGGACGACCTTTCCCCATCCTCGCCGGTACTTTTGTGTCACGCTACCTTTTCCTGCCAACAGGCTGAGATGGCAAAGCATTAAACGTCTGACTTTTGGAGCTTACGGGTACCATTCCAGCAGGGCACAGAAAGAGCTGTTTGTCTGCTGGCAACAGAGATGAGTCAGGAAAGGATGTCATGGGAACAACAGGTGGAAATTAGCTTTAAACAGGGATTGGGTGAAATGCAGCTCTCTCTTGCAAGCCAGTGGGGTCTCATGAGCATTTGGGCCAATTCGACACCAGAGGCATTTTTGTTTTAAAAGCTTTGCCACTATTGCTAACACAGGGTAAGGTCTTAGGGAAGCATCTGCCCCATTATATGCGACTGAATCTAGGTCATCAGCTGTACATCTGGAAATGCAGATGATGCAAGGGTTCACCTGATAACCTGCATGCTGCGGGGTGGATTCAATGTCAACATCTATACAGACTCATTGAAGTGTTATAGGGCATTGTTGGTAGAACGAGACATGTTTAGACGGCCTGTGCCTGCTGTGAAGCAGGAAAAGCAAATGTAGGTGTTGCCTAAAGAAAGGCTCCCTGCAGAGACAGAGTTATACAAGGCTGCGAGGGGCCGCGCAGCCTGTTTGCTTGCTTGGAAACTGCCGGTCACCTGTGGACGATCAGGGAGTGGGTTGAAGGGTCTCCCGAGTCTTGAAACAACCTTCCCGGTGCCCTCAGAAATGCTGGAGGGACTTGGCGCAAGTATGCTGTTCAACGGTGCCTGTCCCTGAAAGGGCCGTTGGATTTTGGCAGCCTGGTGAAGTGTGGAGGGTACGGCCCATTTGCTGCAACAGGAGTTTTGACTAAATCATGAATGAGCCGCGGCATTAGCACTTAGTCCCTGGGAATTACAGGGTTTGGCTTGACGGATGGTTTCATTTCCCAACTTGCACAACCACATTCTCTGCATCGTGAGCTGAGCTATCAGCTGAGCTGCCAAGAAGATCAGTTGACCCCAACCCATTGCACAGACAATACGAGCCGCGGGGCTGGCGGGGAGCCCCAGATCCAGTCCAACCCCTGCCAAAGGCAGGATCAGCCCTGTCCCAACCGTCCCAGACACATCCATCATCTAAACCCTATATAAGCTGACTATCAAGTCTGGCACAACACAGACCTATCACCCTAACCTGCCACAGGGAAAGCAGGCGAACCACAGCAGGTCGTGTCCTGCTTCCAGGAAATGTTGTTAATATATGCTCAAAAAATCCCAGGAAGAGGACCATGTCCCCCGCTACAAAGGCAGGCAATACCCCCTCTGCACATACAAATCTGACCGGGGGGTAAAATCCCTTCTTGCCCCCAAGTAGGCCGATCGGTCTGACTCAGAGCAGAGGGGCAAGACCCTTTAGCCAGGAACCTCTGGCTTTGCTGCCAGCAGGAGCAAGTAAATCCTGCAGGTCAAACATCTGGCAGGGGCAATTTGCTACCATCTCCCCAGCTACATCAAGTGTCTTTACCCACCATCGGAGCTCATTGCCACCAGTGAAATCTCCCTCCTCTGTGCTTTGCATCCTGGAGTTCGTCACCAGGCTTCTTCCTGGGAGCATTTCTGCCTGGGCCATGATGATTTTTGTCTGGCCGGGTGCGGACAGGTCTTTGTCGGAGGATGAGGAGCTGGGATTCTCCGTGAAATGAGCTTGCTGCTCTCCTTTTTGGAGGAAAGTGCATGCGGCAAAGGCTATTAGCAGCTTTACCATAAGAAGGGAGGTGTAGGTACTTATGAGATTAGCCTTGAGATCTTGTTTATGCCAGCAAGTGGCACCATCTGCGCTGCCAACTGGAATAACACTTCTTGGCATGATGGGAGCTCACCATTGAACACGCAAGGGTCTGTGTTGTGTGGGTACAATCAAGCTGCAAAATGCACTAGATGAAATGGCTGTGGCCTCACTGTATGGAGCCATTTCTCCGCCCATATGTTCCTCTTCGCTTTTCAGAAGAGAGAGAAAGCAGGCCCCGGAGAGCTACACATACACACTGCTTTCTGCAGCATTGTGGCGGGATGGCTGGGCACCAGGGCTGTTCTTCTGGATCGACAGGAAAGGCCACTGCCGCGCCGACTCCCCTGTGGGCTTTGCGTGCTGCTGTCAGCGTGAGGCGGTTGCTAAATCTCAGTTACGTAGCTCACTATCAGAGCTGGCCAGAAAGAAGAAACTCGTCCATGAAAGACGGTCCCTTTTCTGCACTGAAAAATGCCTGTGTTTTTTGATAAGTGCTATTCAGGGCATCCGGCTGTGAAGCTGTAACAGGGGGCACAGCAGTCCCCTGGACGCTGATACACCCTGTTGGGAGCTCCTAAAGCCATTGGGACACAAAGTGTGGCAAGAGCGTCGCACAACAGTTTCATCAGCAGGGTTCAGCAGCTACGGCCAGACACAGCGAGCGAGAGAGAGCTGTGCCAGCCCAAAGTAGCCCCAGTCTCAGAGGTCCTGAAGGTCGCATTTTGGTAGCATTTTCCCTTTTCACAGTTTCATAGTTTCTAGGGTCAGAAGGGACCT